AAATAAAATTCAGTAACAGATAATTTTTTTCTGATGTGGAAGATCAGTTTACCAGCAGCGGTGGGGCGGCTCTAGCAGCGGTGGGGCGGCTCCAGCAGTGGACAAAAGGCGAAAAAAAATTCAAGATAACCTTAAGCTCTAGATACCATGTTGAATATAGAGGAAATATGGTTTGAAATTAATCTTCCTTGTGTATAAATCACACATAGGGTAATCTATTTATAATAGAGAGGTACAACTAAAAGAGTAACCGAAAGTAAACAGAATAAACAGAAGATATTGTTTGATATTGTGGTTAACAATATCTAACAATATCTTAACAATATCAAACTATATCTAAACAATATCTAACATATCTCTTTACATAGGTTTCTAGATCAGTTTTAGTCCCTTGACTTTCCATCTTCTCATTATATCTGTACTTTATCATTATAAATAAATGATCATATGAAAGGTGTGATTAAGCCCTCTAAAACATATATTTTCTTCTTTTTTACTTTTAAGTAGAGCTAAAGGGGTATGAGGTTGATTAGGAGAAGAAAATTTAGCTGAGCCAACAAAAGTTAAACCTTGGTCATTTCTTGTTCGATTTTATTAGTGTCAAATAAGGGGATGCTATCCACCATGTTGCTTGACTCATTGCTAACATGATATGAGAGGCACCTGAATTAGAATACCACTGATACTTTAATCAAGTTTGGTTATCAACAAAGTTTGAGTTGACAAAATAAGCTTGAGGTGGCTTCTGAGAATTGGCTGGTGTTGTTGGTTAAAAGGAAGGTTAAGTGATGCTTGATGAAAGATTGGTTTGACCAGATGTTATTTGTCCATTAAGAAGCTATTAACCAATGGGTGGTGCATTTCATTCTAGAAAGGAGGTTTATGTTCATGATGAGGCATAAGCATTTTGCCAATCTCAAGCAAGAGAAGATCTGAATTTAGGAGAAGCAAATACTTGCATCTTTTCCATGTTTGTGAAAATTTTGACATTGGTCAAATGAACAACCACCATGTTAAATAGCCAGCACACCTGCTGCAAGAGCCATCATAGTATTGTCGTGAGTCATAGTTCACGTATGATAGAGGTGGACCTTGGTTGGAGTTAACCTAGTCCTGGGCAATATTGACTAAAAGCGGTTTAACAGAGATGATTTCTTGATTTTCTTTAATTTTGTTTCAAGCAAAAGAACCATATAATCAACTTCAAGTTATCTTTAATTTTGTTTCAAGAAAAAGAACCATATAATCAACTTCAAGTTATCACAAGGTTCAGTGGCATACTAAATAAGAGTAGAAAGTGAACTATACTCTTTGGGGAGTCCATCAAGAACAATATCAAGAAGATTGTGATGGGATACCAGATCCCTAATAAAGAGAAGAACATCCACAATAACCTGGATTTGAGTGAGGCATTGACCAATAAGATAGTCACACTTGATGATCATTTTCAGTTTTAAGCTAATTTGCTTGGACTTTGCATTCATCCATGTGGAATTTGGGGATTTCTTCCTAAACCTGCCATGAATGAACAAATCAAACTATGCGCGGAAGAATATGAAAAAGTGTAGATTGAAGCCATGTAAACCTCAAGGAATCTAGCTATTCCTACTTCGAGTATGTAGAATTGACATTATTGATATCATGATCTTACTTCAACAGGTAGCATGATGGAATTTCAAAGTTTACAAGGAAATTAGGAGTTTGGAATTGTGAATTACTCCATGAATTGGTTACTTTCATAATAGAAGATTGTTGGCATCAATTCTAGTGTCAATTTGATGTGGATTTGTTGTGTAAAAAGTCATTGTGTTAGGAAGGAGGATCAAGGTCAGCAATTGGTTGAACAAAAAGTTAGTTACATTTTGTAATTAGTTAGTTAGTTACAGTTTGTTTGTAATCTATTAGTTAGTTGTTTCAGTTTGACTCCCCCATTGTTATATCTGTTAGTGTTACTGAGATTACACTAACAGATTGAGAATAGTATATCTCCCTATGAGTTGTTAAGACTTTTGTTATTATGTTAGCTGTTTCTATAACAGCTGTAACTCTCTTTATTTTATGTAAATATTCTCTTTCAGTTTTTCTTTTTCACTCCACTCTCTCTTTCTCTCAAAGAACAATAATATGGTATCAAGAGCCTAAAAATTCTATATGGCTGAAATTCCTCCTCCTTCCCCTTCCTCCGATGTCTTTATAATGATTTCTGAAAAATTAGATGATTCCAACTTTCTGCTTTGAGGTGGAGCCCTACATCAAGTCTCATCGTCTTCAACACTTTGCGGAAAGTCCATCTATTATGCTTCATTTTCTTACCAGAGAAGATTGTGAAGCTGGAAAAATCATTGCGGCTTATAGTGCCTAGGAGTAGTAGGATCAAATGCTATTAACATAGTTACAATCTACCTTATCAGTATCCCTTTTTTCTGGTGTTCTTGGAAGTGTTCATTCCTATCAAGTTTGGGATCAAGTTTATGAGTATTTTCATAAAAAAACTAGAGCAAGAGTGCAACAACTTCAAACTGACACAATTTCTTATTCGAATAAGTCTTTGGTGGATTGTCTTTCCCATGGAAGATCTTGTTTCTCTTCAAGAACATATTGATGTGATTCTTGAAGGGTTGCCTCAAGATTATAAATCTGTTATTTTTGTAATCGGAAGTAAGTTTGAGCCTTTTTCTATTGAAGACATTGTAGCCCTTCTTCTTGCACATGAGTCTCGCCTTCAAAAGTTTGACAAGAATGTTGTTCTTGATATTGCCTCAGTTAATTTGACTCAAACATCAAATTCTGTTTCACAAAATGATGACGAATTTGTTGCAGTTCTGACTCAACCTGTGCACAATTAAGATTTTGTTTCTGCTTTCCGAGGTTCCTCTATTTTTGTAGTGGTCGTGCTTCTGTTTATAGTGGTTGTGGCCATGGAGGATGTTTTGCTAATATTCAGTGTCAAGCTTGTTTTAAGTATGGGCATACTGCTTCTCTATGTTATCACCGGTTTGATCAAAATTACCAGCCTCTCAATCAAGGCGACTTTTACACAAATTCTGAAATCAGAATTTTCAAGAAAGTTTTCATCCATTTACTCAATACAATAAGTACTCACATTTTACTCAACACCAACAACACTCTGTTCCTTCTCTATTCTATCCTCCCAGCAACTATTGTCATTCTTCATAGCAATCATAACTTTCCCACACTGCTTTGTTACCAACACTGGATCTAGTTTGCTGCCTACACCCAACCTTCAACACTCTAATTCCAATTGGTTCCCTGATTTTGGTACTTCTCTCCAACTTACTGGAGATAGTCAAAATATTAACCAAAATGTTCCATATTAAGGTCCTGAACAAATTTACACTGGTAATGGCCAAGTTCTGCCAATTAAATCCTCGGGTTCCTCCTATTTCTGCTGCTAATAATCCTAATATTTCTTTAGCTCTTCATCATTTACGTCATGGTCCCACTATCACTAAAAATCTAATTAGTGTCAGTGAATTCGCTAAGGATAATTCTGTTTACTTTGAATTCCATGCTATTCACTGTTTTGTTAAGTCTCAGGTAACTAATGAGGTGCTGGTCCATGGATATGTTGGTCCTGATGGTCTTTATGCTTTTCCAAATCTGCAACTTCAAGCTCATCCTTCCATTGCTGCCCCACCTGCTAAATCTTTTTTTATTTTTTTTTCTGTTACTTCTATAACCACTAATACCTCCAGAACTCAATCTGTTTGGCATGCTAGACTAGGGCATCCTAATGCTCATATAATGAAACTTGTTTTTCAGCAATATAATCTTCCTTTTTCTACTAAAGAAATTTTCGTAAAGCTTGTTTGTATTGGCAAAGCTCATAGAATTCCTTCTTCCTTATCCCAACAGTTTATCATTCTCCTCTTGAACTTGTTTATAGTGATTTATGGGGTTCTTATCCTGTATTATCAACTAATGGTTTTTCATATTTTGTTGATGCTTTTTCTAGATTTACATGGATTTTATCTACTCTAAAGAAAGTTTGATCTCTTTACTGTTTTTCAACAGTTCACAACCATGACTGATCTTCAATTTCAGTCACCATTAGAAAGTATTCAAGCTGATTGGGGTGGTGAGTTTAGATCTTTGTCCAAGTTTCTTCCAGAAGTAGGAATTCAGCACAGAATTATTTGTCCTCATACTCATCATCAAAATGGTGTCATTGAAAGAAAAAACATAGGCATGTTTTTGATCTTGGCCTTACTTTACTAAGTCATGCATCTCTTCCACTAAAAATGTGGGATCACGCCTTTACCACTGTTATCTATCTAATTAATAGACTTCCCACATTTTCTCTTAATTTTCAAATTCCTTATACTGTTCTCTTTAAAGTTCCTCCAGATTTCAGTTCTTAAAATCCTTTGGTTGTGTTTGTTTTCCTCATCTTAGTCCTTACAACAAGCATAAATTTGATTTTCGGTGAGTGTGTCTTTCTTGGATATTCTACTTCTTACAAAGGGACACATGTCTCTCTCCTAGTGGTAAAATGTTTATTTCATAAGATGTTATGTTTAATGATCAAAAGTTTCCCTATACTAAATTATTTTCTACTGTAAACACCAGTAACACGGGTCCTACTTCTTCCTCCTTTTACAATTCTAGTCCTGTTGGTGTAATACAGACAATTACAACTGTCCTGCTACTAAACTCAATTAGAAAGATAGATTTCCATAAACTGTTTTCTGTGTTTTCAATATTCATTCAGTTAGAATATACAAAGTATTCCTTCTCTTAACATTTAAGAGAATGGACTTTGATAATATGTTTTCAGTACGAGCTCTAATATTCCTTAGGATACAAAGCTAAGCCTAAAATGGGAATTCAGGAAAGAATAAAAACTAAGATAAAAACAACAAACAAAGAGTTTTTTTCATATACTAAAGTAAGTAAGACATATATGTATGTATAAGAATCAAAACGCTTACAACTGCATTTAATAGAATATAAGATAATAAATAGTCAACAAAATCAGTTTACCTGCGACTATATATTTGATGAAGAGTAGATATTAACCAGCTGCGGTTCTTTTCTTGGTCCTGGGTCTCAGAACTAAATTTCAAACTGTCCATTGTGGTGCTCATCTCAATATTGTCAACTATAAAATTTATCCTCTTACTAGTCACCTACAACAAGACAATGGCAATTCACACTAGTGCAATTGAGAAATATACATAAGCCAAGAGAATAATTGCAAATCCTTCATCCATTTTTACTTCAATAAAGATAGCAGCCCAAATCTTAGGTTATTCTTTTAGTTTCCATGTATTTTGATTGTAGAAAGCAACCAAAATCTACAAAATCCATAGAGTAAAGATGATGATAAGAGAAACTGAGATTGCAACCTATATCGTGATGCAATAAGATTCTTTTCTTTTTGATTAAAAAAAAACTGAGACTAGAATCATGAGCAAAGAGTATATTAATTGTGATCTTATTATCCATGTCTGCAAACCCCCTCATGCTTTGCTCAAAACCACCAACTCGACAATATTCTTACACTGTTGTGGTACTGCTTCTCTATGGAACCATTTTGGTGCTGAGTTTTCCCACGGCCATGGACCAAATTTTTAAGAAAGCTTTCAACCCTTTGGAAGAAGTAGAAAAGGAAAAATGTGGCAATGTGAATCAAAGTATCAGTGTAATTATCATGTATCAGAGTTTCTATATCACAACAATTGAGTACGGATAAGGTTATAATTATAAGCCTAGGTATTTGGCTTCAATTGGGTGTATATAACATGATTTTTCAATTTGTTTGCTTAACAGAATTGTTGAAGGATTGTGCAACCCTACTTCATTTATGCACTCTTCAATAATTTGTTTTTTTCTCTTAGTTTAAGGAGGATTCCAAATTCTCCCCAATCTTTGTTATGTTATATCATTCTAAACAAATTTCAGTTGAAAGATATCAAATATTTTTCTGAATTAATCACCCATACAAAGGTGTTTACAATTTATACAACAATTACTTTCATAGAAAAGAGATAAATTGTAGGAGTAAATCTCAGTTGTAGGAACCAGCTTGTCAATTTGCGATTTCTAAGCTTTATAAGGTCTGTTTAAGCCATATTTCTTGTTGATGGAGGACTAAACATATCTCTTCAAGGTTGAATTAGATAGTCTACAGAGGCTGCAATTAAGGTGGGTAAAAAATGACTACAATTAAGGCAACTTTCCAATCACATGTTTTTGCGTATCATCCATATATAGATACAGTGGAGAATATTTCCTGCTATTAGAATAAGCAATGCAACTTCCTAAACACTCCCGTTAACATAAAATTCATTTTAGCATAAATACATGAACCACACACTTCTAAAGCATCCGATGGTATACTACTAATTGCAAAATATGTTTAGCTCACATGAAGCTACATTAAAACTAATATGAACCCACTTTGTAAGTTCTTAATTGTTTTTTTTTCCATCAATGAAATGGAATTTTATCTAAACTACAGGTGCCCAACAAAATCAAAATGTAAATAAATGCCATGGTTTAAAAAAATATTTTTTAGAAATTATTATTTAATTAAGAAACAACGAATATACTAATGTTATTTTTCCCTTGACTATTTTTTTTAGTTTTTATTATGCTCTTCTTCTCTACTAATAACCCTCTTAAATCCACAAGTAATCTCAAAATGGCTACAAAATGACTTCTAAATTAGATCATGAAACTTACTTGGAAGGTTCCCTGTACAACCCTAAGTGGCTGGACCATTGTTGATGGTAACTCGATAACAATTCTTTCATCAAGTTCACTAGGAACATAACCAGGTGCAAAGGCTGAAGAACTCTGAACAACACCCTCATCACTTTCAGGTTGAACTGCATTGGAATCTGAAGACTCTTGTACAATTTTTTCAGCTCCTTTCAAAAATTTAGGCTGATTCTCTACTTTATCTCCTATATTATCAACTGTAACATCCAAATTTTCAGTTTCTATCTGTTCTTCCTCTTCATTTATACCTTCTATTGTAATTGCTTCTGCAGATAAAACTGGAGTGCTCCGATCATTATTCTCGCTTGAATAATTCTCATAATTTGCAGCAGAACCTAAATGATCAGACCCTCGATAGTTTCTTCTCATACATCTTCTCATCCTAGAAGAACTTTCCATAAAATCTAACTTCCAGAAAACCTAGAGAAAAACAGAAAATAATCAGCATGGTGACTACCAGTAAAAAGCACAAACAGAAAAATAGGAGCGTCAACTCAATAGAGCAATCCAACTCTTTTGTAAAGCCCAAAGCCCCTACACTGTTGATTTCTGAATTCTTGGATTTTATTTTTCAGGCATATACACACCAAAGCACAGTAAGCAATATACATCTTCCTAAATTTTTATCATATACTCCGCAAAAGAGAATTTAAGGCCAGAAAAAGATGAGCAGCAACAAAGACTGCCAGTTGGTAACAAAAATGTAGACAGTTATATCATAACATACTCGAATTGGGCTGTACAAATAGTCTGCAAAAGGCCCAAAAAGACTTCTCATCTCAATTAACTGTCGAATAAGTTTGCGCCATGCATGAATTCCAGTGCTTATACGATGCCGAGATATTATACCTGCACGAATATGCCTGTCCATCTGACAACAAAGAAATGTTTAACATACAGTATCTCAATATAATCCAAAAACCACAGTAACAATTAGCAGACAAACCTCAGATCGCTGCATATTCCTTGCTATGGCAAAACTGGCAACAAGTACAGCTATAAATTTATATGATAAAGCATTGAAATCTTTCTCGTATATCGACTTTGTATCAAATGGCTGCAGACATTCCATCCAAGCAACTCCCATTGCTTCAGTAATATTCCACCTGCTAACCCGCTCCATATCACTAGCACTCCTTCGCTGTGCAGATGTAGCCATTGCAACAGCACTCAGACCTCTTCCAGAACCAATTCTTGAAAAACGTTGGACATCACGAGCAGCTGCCAATGCAGCATCTTTTGCTGCTGCTTGGCTCTTTGGTATGGGTGGTGCTTTGTTAGGTGTTGTGGAAGGTTTCTGAAAACTTGAAAATGTATGAAGCCTAGCTTGTTTCCGTTCCAGCATTGAGGTTTCACGCCTAAGCTTGGCATTTGTTGAAGGTGCATGACTTTCACTACCGGAAGTACCAGCTGCAATCATTGACAATGCCAATGAAGCAGGTGGAGATGCAAATGCAGCAGCCCAAGCTGGAGATATCATATCAAGAGAAGCCTGAAAGAAATTTCAGATGCATAATTAATTAATGCACCAAAAGTCATATAAATGAATAGAAAATTAGCACTAGAAGTTCTTGATTAATAAATCGGTTGAATTTTGTTGTATATGTTTTATTGGAGTGACAAGCACGTGCTAGAACAAAAAAATGGGCACTTGCTAGAACAAACCAGAATACTTATTTTTTCAAAATAATGTTCCGAAAACTTTTTGGTGGGAAGCCATACTTAGTGCCACATATTTAACTAATAGGTTACCTTCAACTGTTTTGTCGTTAAAAATTCCAATGGAAGTTCTCCACTCATTTTATCCACATATAACTCATACACTTAACCTTCCTCCTAGAATATTTGGGTGTGTCTCATTTGTACATTTTCACAAACAGCAAAGGGGAAAACTAGACCCAAGGGCTATTAAATATGTTTTCATAGGTTAGTCTATTACACAAAAAGGGTATAAGTACTTTCATCCTCCTTCCGAAAAATTGTGTCACGGATGTCACCTTTAATGAATAAGTTAGCTATTTTAATCATCCTCATCTTTAGGGGAGAGTTTAAGAGAGGAAGATGATGAGAATTTTATATTGCCAAATTTGTCTTTTGGACCAGAAAATGAAAAAAAAAAAATGAAATTCAAGAGGGTAATACTATTGAAACTGACAGTCCAAGGGAAAGAGTAGAGGTGAATTAAAATCTTGAATCTGTCAGACCTAATACTATTGAAACTGAAGTTGAAAGGGAAAGAGTAAAGGTGCATCAAAATCCTGAATCTGCCAGACCTGTCATTAGACCACATGATGATACAAAATTTGAGAAAAAATCTGGTGTACACCGGAAGAGGAAAGGCCATTCAAGGATCTACTCATGTTTAAGAGTTCAACCCTATATCATTACATGAGGTAAATGTGTCTAACCCTATAAATCCTTATTCTACTAACTGTGATGAACTTCCTTTTGTAGAACCAATGACACAGGTAGACCAACATTTAGATCTGTCAATTGCTGTTAGGAAAGGAACCAGAGCCTGCACCAAACCACCTTACCCTTTAGCAAACTATTTATCCTTCGAAAAATTCTCACCTACCCATAGAACCTTTCTCACAAACCTAAATACCACAACTATACCTTCATCTGAGGCATTGATTGACAAAAAATGGAAACAAGCCATGGATTTGGAAATGGACACATTGGAGAAAAACAATACATGGAAACTAGTCACCCTACCACCTAGAAAAACACCTATTGGGTGCAAGTGGGTTTACACAGTAAAATACAAGGCAGATGGGACTATTGAGAGGTATAAGACTAGGCTGGTAGCTGAAGGGTTCACTCAAACTTATGGAGTGGATTACTTGGAGACCTTTGCACCAGTTGCAAAAAAGAACACAATCAGAGTAATTTTGTCTTTGGCAGCAAACCATGATTGAAACTTGTAGTAATTTGATGTGAAAAATACATTCCTACATGTGGATCTTGAAAAAGAAATATATATGGAGGTACCACTTGGGTATACAAGGCAGATTAAGGCCAACACAGTTTGCAACTGAGGAAAATGGGTTGAAATAGTCACCTAGAGCATGGTTTGGGAGATTCACCAAAGTCATAATGAGCCTTAAATACAAACAGAGCCAAGGGGAGCGCACCTTATTTATCAAGCATTCTGATTTAAGGGGAGTAACAGTTCTATTAGTCTATGTGGATGATATCATTGTTACTGGAAATAATGAAAAAGAGCAACAAAGGTTAAGCTAATGTCTTGAAAAAGAAAGTGAAATCAAGACTTAAGGAAGGTTTAAATATTTTTTAGGAATTGAAGTAGCTCATTCCAAGAAAGGGATCTTCATATCTCAGCAAAAATACATTACTGACCTACTACAGGAAGTAGGTAAAACAGCCTGCAAACCAACAAGTACACTTGTTGATCCAAATACAAAGTTGGGAAGTGCGGAGGATGATGCTGTTGTGAATACAGAAATGTACCAAAAACTCGTGGAAGACTTATTTATCTATCTCACATTAGACCAAATATTGCTTTTGTGAGTCTAATAAGTCAGTTTATACATCAACCAAAGGAAACGCATTTACAAGTTGCTCTTAGAATTGTCCAGTATTTGAAAGGGACACCAGGAAGAGGGATTTTATTCAAAAGAAATAAGAATGTTAGTCTTGAGGCGCATACCAATGCCGATTATGCAAGTTGAGTTATGGATAGGAAATCGATTACTGGATATTTTACCTTCCTTAGCAAAAATCTAGTAACTTGGAAGTGTAAAAAACAAAGTGTGGTAGCCAGATCTAGTGCCCAAGCAGCATTTCGAGCAATGGTTCAAGGAATATGTGAATTGCTACGGCTAAAGATTATATTGGAAGGCTTAAAGATAAAATGGGGTAAACCTATGAAATTATATTGTGACAATAAATCTGCGTTCAGTATAATTCACAACCCAATACAACATGATAGAACTAAACACATTGAAATGGATAGACATTTCATAAAAAAAAAAGCTTGATAGTGGCTTGATTTATACACCATATGTGACTACTCAAGGACAACTGGCAAACATACACACCAAGGGCTGAACAGTAGTAACTTTGAGAGAATTATATCCAAGCTAGGAATGGAGAACCTTTATTCACCAGCTTGAGGGGGAGTTTCGAGATATTATAAGAAGTTTTAGATTTTATTCCTATTGGTTTTAATTCTGTATATTAGTTGTATCTTGGTTTTATTACTAGAACATCAATCCCATAATCTCATGGATTTGTTTCCTAAAATAGGTTGTGCTTGTTTCCTATATATATATATATATATATATATATATATCAAATCTATGTAACAAGACAGAATAAAAGTGAAATTATTTTCTTCTAAACTTGAGATTCATTAATGATTATTCAAGAGGTACTTGGTTTTTTTTAATGAAAGATTATTCTAAGCTATTTTCTATATTTCAACCATTTTACAATGAAATAAAAAATCAATTTGGAGTTTTTATTTGAACTTCACGCAATGATAATGCTCCTGAGTAGCTTTTTCATTCTTTTCAAAATTTTATGGCTTCTCATGACATTCTTCATCAAACCTCATGTGCGTATCCACTTCAACAAAACATGGTAACACGATAATAAATATCACATTGAAACAACCCATACATTTTTAATCCATGGTGAGGTTCCTCAACATTTTTGGGGTGATGTTGTCCTTAGTGCATATTATCTTATTAATTGCATGTCATCTTTGATTTTAAATAACAAAATTCCTCCTTCTATTTTATTTTTATGATGAATCTCTACATCCCTTACCACTAAGAATCTTTGGATCCATATGTTTTGTTCACAACTATGGCCCTGGTCTTGATAAATTATCCACTACGTCGCACAAATGTGTCTTTTTAGGGGTCACTAAATCACAAAAGGGATATAAATGTTTATCTCCTTCTCTTAACCACTATTTCATTTGAGTTGATGTCACCTTCATTGAGTCTTCCATCTACCTTAAATCTAATTCTTCTCCTACTATGTCTTTCATCTGATCAAGACACTATCTTGGTTGCTTGTGATCCTTTTGTTGTGTCTAGTGTATCCCATTGACCCCCACCTCCATCACCTCTTCAGGTCTATAGTCGTCGTTGAATCCCCATTGTCCACCAGATGACTCTCTTCTTGTGCCAACCCCGCCATCTCCTCCGACTCCAATAATTGAATTTGATCTTCTCATTGCTCTATGTGAAGGTATATACTCTACCCATGATCCATCTTCTCATTATACTACTTTGAGTTAACATAGGTTATCGCCATCACTTTATATTTGTTTGTCTTCTATTTCTTCTATGTCAATTCCAAAATCTAAAGGTGATGCCTTAGCCCATCCTGATTGGTGTCATGCCAAACATGATGAAATAAGTTCTTTTTAGAATAGTGGTACTTGAAAAATTGTTTCTTTATCATTTGGTAAATCTGTTGTTGGTTGCAAGTGAATTTTTGCTAAGGAAGTTGGTTCATACCCTTGATCGTTCCAAAGCTCGACTGGTGGCTAATGATTATACACAAATTTTTCAGTTAGACTATTGTGACACTTTTTCTCTAATTGCCAAGATGACCTTTGTTCGCTTATTCATAGCCATAACTGTTGTTCAATGCTGGCCTCTTTATCAACTAAATGTCAAAAATGTTTTCCTTAATGGTGATATGTAGAAAGAAATTTATATGGAACAAGCTCTAAGTTTTCTTACTCAGAAAGAGTCTTCTGGATTAGTATGTCATCTCCACAAACTTTATATCGTCTCAAGAAGACTCCTATGATTTGAAAAATTTAACACTATTGTTTTACAATTTGGTATGACTTATAAATAGTGAGGCAGATCATTCAGTATTCTACCATCTCTCAAATGCTAGGTGTATTTATCTAATAATATATGTTGATGATATTATACATTTAGTTAGTGATCACCAAGGCATCTAACATGTGAAACAACACCTTTGTCACCACTTTCAGACCAAAAACCATGGAAAACTCAAACATTTATGAGGGATTGAGAGCACAATTCAATAATGGAATTGTTATTTCTCAAAAGAAGTATGCATTATATATTATGGAGGAAGTTGGGTTAGAAAATTCAAAGTCTACTGATACACCCATAGATCGTAATGTCAAACTCCTACCTTATCAAGGGGGACCATTCTCAAATCCGAGAAGTATAGAAGATTTGTTGGAAAGTTGAATTATCTTACCGTTACTCATCCTGACATATCTTTTGTAATCAGTGTACTGAGTTAGTTTCTTAATTATCCATAGATCATTGGAATATGGTCATTCTTATATTTAAGTATATTAAAAATTCTCTTGGAAAAGGATTGTTACATGGACACAATAATCACATTAGAGTTATATGTTACTCAGATGGTAATTGGACAAACTCTCCGTATGATAGGAGATCCACTTCCAGATATGGTATCTTTCTTGGGGGCAATTTGATCTTTTGGAAGAGTAAGAAACAA